ACCTAAGTTAAATCGCCAGCAGAACCACCATTCCACGACATGAAAGACCATTGATATCTGGGGTCTGAAATGGTCTGAAAATGAGGTACCTCCAACTCAAAAGGTTTCGGCAGCATATTTCCCATTGTTTCGTGGCCATACATTGGTGTATAACTTCTATAATATCAATCTGTTAAAATAGAAATTCATATAAATTCCCACTGGGTCAATGAACCAACAACAATGTGGATGAAACCAACCAAAATCAAGACTTTCCCAAACATGTTGGGCACCCAAATGGACCCTCATCATTACGATATTTGACTCCAACTGGTTTTGTTTTGCTTTTTCAATGAATCTTTGTTGTGATTGACAACACCTTCATTTGCGTGTAGGATGATTTTGAGTGAACACCTCAATCTTGACGATTTCAATCGGTCTGTGGCTTGGTTGATCGCATGTTTATCGACTTAGACAAATCTTTGGGATGGGTGGCACTTCGCAATGCTTCACTATGCTTCACTGCTCCTCATAGCAGATTTTCTGTCTCAGTGAACACCTGATGGCACTGAATTTCTTCCCCAACTGCCCCAACTGTTTCCCTTTTTTCGGTAAGCCACGAAGCGACCGCCAATCGGGATCCCTCCTGGAAGCCGCGTAAAGATGGTGATTTTCTCTAGCCTCAACTAATCCAGTTTCTTTTTCCGTCCAGATACTTTTCAGGATTTTATTTGAGAGCTGGGGACTGTGAGCGTGCGCTTTTTTAGACATTTCAAGATGCTGAGTATCTTCAAGTGTCAGTTGACACATGCCTCGAAGCCAAAACCCTCATATTGACGAGATGTCCATCAAATGTATGACTAAAAAATAACGTTAAAGATGGTTGAAAACAAAACACAACTAGTTCTTCACATGCGCAAGCAACACAATACATAATTGGTGACAGAACTGCACAGATAAAGACCCTCGTGAGATGAGATTACCGAGATAAATTTATTGTTCAGAAGTTCAGATCCTTACTTCTTCTGCTTCATGCACTTCTTCTTCTTCTTCATGGCCACTTGCTCAAAACACAATTTCTGCAGAATATGCTAGATGACTCAAATAATTACAACATCGCCATACCTGTCAACAAATGCAGTATTCAAAACAAACATACCCTTCTGAATAAGAGTAATCTTCCTTTGGGGAAATGCCGTGTGTTTTTTCAGGGGCAATATCCAAACAAAATATGAAGTATTCCTTGAAAAGTTGCGCTATGCCCTTTGAAGGAGTGCAGTGTGCATTTCCAGATATCTAACCCTCCTTTCAAAGGAGCAGTACCCCTTCTAGAAAAGTCAATATTTCTGCATAATATATGCAGTATTATTGACATAGAGCATCCCTTTCAAAAGTGTAACATGTTTGAAACTGTGAGCACTATTAAAGAATGCTCTTTCGCTTCTTACCACTGAACAACAGAATATTGTCCTGTATGGCAAAAAAAACTTGTGAAGAAGCAGCATTCTGGGAAAACTGGATTACTTTTGTTTGAAATGTGTACTCTTCCCCTTGGTCGATCAGTCCAGCCTTCATTTAGACAACTCTCACTTAAAGAAATGTTTTCAATACAATCCAACAATAATGTTTTCGCTTAAGCAAATATCTCACTCATATCAAGGGGGTTTGTGCACAAATTCAACAACAAATTCTTCAAGGACGACCATACTCTTTCAACAGAGTGCTACATGCACACAATATACAATATGTTCAAACAATGTTTGATTGTCTTAAGATTTAAAGATGCACATTCTTCAAATTACAAGATTTTTCAAGAGGAGAGCTGCCAACACCAAATGGTGTTATTCCCAAAATATGGTTCGTTGTCTTGGAAGAATATCAAATTATGCATTCAGAAAAATGGCGCGCAATTGTGAAGGACATAGTTTACGTGCTTACATGTACCATGCGGTCTCCATTTAAGAAAATATATTGTGGAAAGAACATTACATGTGCAAGAGGGTTCATTTTTGACATAGAATTAGACTAAGACATGACCTACTTCAATGGGATGCTCTCCATTTTAAAAGAAATGCGCTTGTTGAAGGGAACACTCACTTCAAAGAGATGCATCACTCCTTTTCAAGGGAATCATAGGGAATCCTTCAAAGTGTTTGAATATGTGTTAACTCAAGGGTTTGAACCAACAATGTCAATATATGTCAATATCAAAATCAATTCTACACATTCATTGGCTGCCTATGTTTTTGCATTTGTTCAACACAGTTTTGAAAAATTATATAAACATACAAAATTGCCTAATCTGTGTCCCAAGCCCCCCAAGCTTCCTCCAGTGATACCTGCATTTTGCCATTGTTTTTTTTTACATGGTTTTCTAATGGAACCACAGGCCCAAAGCAACCAATAAAATCTACCAAAAGCAAGTTTGCAACCCCTAAAGTGGGAGAACTGGCAAAGAGCGAGGTCTAGGTCCTTCACTTTTGTGTTGCTTTGCCAACCCTTCAAAAAACCAACAACGAACCAGAAAACCAAGAAACCAAGAGGCCCAAAAAAAAAACCAAAAAAACAAGAAACCAAAAAAACAAAAAAAACAAAAAACAAATCCCAACCCCAAGGAACCCAATCTTTGTTACTTTCATGAGTCGTTTTTTTCCCCCCATTTTCCTTTCCGCTTTGCAGCAGATTGGCATAGGCCAACAGACATGCAGCAGATAAATAATTGTTTTTCTAGATAATTTGAGAACGGCTATTGCAAAATATTGCAAATTTGTGCACGCTGGTGGTGCCCTGTTCTGTTTTATTTTCGGGATACATGCCTGCATAGCTGGAGATGCTAATAAGATGAGCGTTTCGCTTTTTTAATTGTTTTTAATATTATACAATACTGAACAACGTGAACCGAATGCGGAAGCAAATAGCCTTACGATGTGATAAGATGACATGACCAAGGATGTGGCAAATACAGCCAACAAATTGCTTGATAACACAAACACGTCATAGCATTTTATAGCTACTACTTGTACTCCATTTCCCGGGAAATGGAGTTAGCATGGCTCAAATGGTCAGAATTTATGACCTTGAAGAAGCGGTTCACAAGATATATTCTTGGGGGAAAATTATTTTCCTCCATGCACCCCAACAAAAAATACCAATACTTAAATAACAAATAAGCTGATAATCAAACCAATCATTGTCATTGAATATCGATTGATTCTTAATGGTTGGCTTGAATTAACCATCACTGATTGTCAAGTGTGAATAACAAACCAAGGTGGTGTCCTGACGATAGCGTTCAGTTGGTGCAAATAACTCCAATGACTAGGACTTATGGTATATATATATATACATATGTATAATTATATATATATATATCGAACGAGTTTCTGGTTTTCATGGGTTTATTTCACAAATTTTAAACCAATTGTAACCGTGGGGCACCGGGCACCACACTGTTGCTGGCTAAAAACTTTTTGGCAAAACTTGGCAAGGGCTTGTCCTATCCCAAACTGGGCAATCTCGTGATTTTGTGGACAGCAAATAACAAACCACTAGTCCAGCCACCAATTACCAACAATTGGTTATACTATGTTATACTGTTGGTTTCTTTTAGTCATGGGTAATAACATGTAAGAACCAATAATATCCAATAATCAATTCAATTGGTTATGCTATGATAATACTGTTGGTTTGTTTTAGTCATGGCTAATAACATGTAATAACCAATAGTTACCAACACAACCCAGTGGTCACTGCAGTGGCCTCGTCTTCCGGCACGATGTCAGGCGTGAAGAGCTGCTCTTCGCTGAAGACATTCTCATGAACGTCCGCTGCCTCGGTGTCGGAAAAACCGGGTTGTGGGTAACAGGGGTCAAACGTGGCTTTGGATCCGGTTTGTTATTTGGGTATGGATCAATACCTATGAAAATACCATTTTTAGGGGGATGAACATCCAGCTAAACCAGCTATTTTTTGATGTGAACTACAGGGGTACAAGGTTTTGACACACTGCCATTTGTATCCTTTTTGTCACATTGGCCATAGATCAGTCTAATTATCTCAATGTTCCAATGATATTTTCTAGGTTTCAAAAGCATTTACTTTCTGGTAAACTAACATAGCTATTGAAAATGGTCATTTATAGGAGATTTTCCCATTAAAAATGGTGATTTTCCATAGTTCTTTTCAATGTCCAATGATATGTTCTAGGTTTCAAACGCATTTAACACTTATAGATCATTAGCATTTATGCTTAGACATTATTGACTAATTAGCACTTATATATACAATTCTTTCAAACGCATTTGTAGATCTGTCTGAATTTGACACACTTTGGAAAGACCTGACCATGGAATGTGCGATTTCATGAAGGGCTAACCTCACGTTGAAGACGGGCCGCTCCATTGTTATCACCATTGGGCCAACTTGCGACACGAACATAGCATGCTTGCAGGTGGGTGACTATAGGGATGAAAGTCAATGGGGATGTTCTGGAGGAACTCTTGGTTGATCAATCTGATCACCCCAACAAAAATCACAAGATAAGTGTTTGTATTGTTTGTGTAAAGAATGGGAACGCCCCGAAATTCCAATGTTTTATCGTATTGTCCCTATTAACAACTCCGGCAGCAAACCAATCTCCAATACCTTTTCAGATGGTGGAGCCTGAGTCTGTGCCAGCTTGGTTGCCTTCTGCTTTGCAACCAGCTGGGGTTGTTGGATACTTGATCGCATCCATCTTACCTCACCACATTGGGTGGGTGGGAGTGGTTCAAAAATTGGTGGGGGAATCTCACCACCAGCTTGAGCCAAAATGGCACAAGTGATGAGATTCCACCCACCATCCCCTGTGCTACCTGCTTTGTTCGGCAGGAAATTCCGGAACTACATTTCCTTTTCCAACAACTCCGGCAGCAAACCAATCTCCAATACCTTTTCAGATGGTGGAGCCTGAGTCTGTGCCAGCTTGGTTGCCTTCTGCTTTGCAACCAGCTGGGGTTGTTGGATACTTGATCGCATCCATCTTACCTCATTTGCAATTGCGCGATCTCGGTGCACTTCTTGCAAACCTTCCCGCCATCCTCTGACCAGACGAACATGTAGTCAGCCTTGTGGTAGTGCCAGCCGCACAAGGTTTTCCAAGCGAGTGGCGGGGTGCAGCTCGTCATGTTCCAATTGTGGTGGATGATCCTGCTGTTCAAGGCTTGGATGTAGGGCGGCAGTTTCCCATTGTTCCTGTCGCTCCTCTTTTTCAGGGATTCGACTTCGAAATCCATGGCCTTGAGGGCACGTTCCTGGTGTTCCCTCGCCAACATCAGCTCGGCCAGGAGATAGTCGCGGACCTCTTCCACATCTTTGGCTCTGTAGAAGACTGGCCCACCGTCGTTGTCCTTCGTGCCGTAGAGGTCAGAGATGAAAGCCCTGTTGGTGTTGACGGGGAGGGACTCAAGGGCCTCTGCCGCGTACTGGTAAATCACGTCGGACTTCCAGCGGCCCAAATAGGCTACTTGGGGGATGGCCCAACCGTGCCTGATGTACCTCAGTGCCCCCGTTCGCCTGGTGGAATGGCCTGATGTCTCGCTGCCGTAAAGCTTCTGCCATTCCTTCACCAACTGCGACTTCTTGGCTCTTTTCCCTTTCGACGTGACCGAAGCATAGTGAAGGTTCCTGTCCTCCATGCCAAAGACCAACATCGCCGAGATTCTTAAGGGGCAGCCTGTTGCACATTCTTTTCCCTCGCACAGGCACTGCAACATCCTCGTCATTGACTGGGCCTCCTGGTCCGTCTTCGATACCGGGATGGTTAGGACCACCCTCCGGTGCTCAACGTCCACTTTCAGATGGCCCTTCGTCACGTGGGACAACTCGATCTCGCGCAGCATCCAAATGACTCCAAACTCAAACAGTTCCCGGGCTAACGGGACCACCTTCGGTTTCTTGTTGGTCACTGCCGGAACGAAAACCTTCCCTGTCTCCATCACCGCCACCTCTTTAGCTTTCTTGGCTGGACCCAGGGCTCTCGTTGTCGATCTCTTGCACAGCTTCAGGGCTCTTTCCATTTGGTCGGTCCACTGGTGCCCTTCTTCAATCACCATGATCTTGTACTCCCCGAGGTATTGCGGGGCTGCCCTGTAGTGAGCTTGTTTGAGGACTGCCGCAAGTACCTTCAGCTTGTCCGTGGTGGGCGGCCCGGGAGGTTCATTCCTTGCTTCCTTGATGATCTTCGTCACCGTCGCCCTCACCGCTTTCTTTGCTGCCCGGGACGACTTTGCGTTGAAGCCTTCCTCCAGCTCGGTGATGGCTTTCCTGTTTCTGCTGGCCCTCCTCGCCAGTTCCAGGACATTGGACGCCTTCCTCTTCCGCGTGTTGTGCGATGCTGCTCCTCCATCCAGGTTGAGCTTGGGCATCTCCGTTCTATCCGCCGGGTCCTCCTTTGCCTTCACATGTTCTACACTGACTTGCATGTGTCCGAGGCGATGCGTAGTACCCTGCTGAGTGCAGGGGTTGACCCAAAGAGTCCATTTGCGTTGTTGGACATCTGCTTTGGGCTTGTTCTGTCTCCTTGACTGGGTGCCATCGTGCCGTACTCGCCCTCAGCGGTAGGAGGTTCCCTGCTGACCAGGGTAGTTCTTTCAAGTTTCCAAAACTCCGGCCCTAGTGCTTCGTTTGGTGTGGTTCCCCATGTTCCTTGGTATGGGTCTCTATTGAAGACCCCTCCCATGGAAATCTCAGGGCATGCCACTATGTCACCTTCGTTGCCGCGTTCTCGACGACCTCGGCCCAAAGTCTCACCCATGGTCAGCCTCTGCGGTTTGCCCCTCCCTGCGGGGTTCTGCGGTTCACCAATCCTGATAGACCCCTGCTCGTCCTCATTTCCGCATTGTCCTGCCTCTGATGACGTTGTCGCGGAACTTCTGAGAAGTCTTGAGATCGATGTCCCGGGTGCATTTCCTGCCACACGCCCACACGCGGCCAGCTTCGACCCGATTGCACGGGGTGAAAGGGCAAATTGGGACTCGCCTGCAGCAGCGATGACAGGCCCAAACCAAGGCTATCCCGTGGCAGACGACGCCTGTCAGAGCCATCCATTGGATGAAAAGGCCCAGGGGTGTGTCGGGGGACATTTTGAGCCCAAAAGTGACCTACGAAGCCGGGTCATCGCCTGAAACATGTTTCAAACATCACCTCAGCAAGCAAAGTAAATGTTCCTTCAACCCTCCAACATCTGCGACGCAGCCGATTTCTTCAGCCTAGCCACGACATCCAGGGTCCTGTCAGATCTGTCTCATCTGACTTGCCCCAAAGGTCAGGGCGCCGGCCCGGAGTTGGAAGTGGATAGAACTCGTCATCCCGGACGGCACTCACCGAGATGGTTCCTTCCTTGATCTCGGGTGGTCGGGGCGAGTCCTTCCATGTTGAAGGCCGACTTAGGTAGTCGGCTACCTTGTTGGCAACGCCCGGGATGTGCTGGAGCTTTGCGTCCTCAACTCTGTACCGCTCCAACAGCACACCCAGCACGGCGCCACAAAAGTTTTGGGCAGGCGATGCGCCTGACTTCTTAAGGGTGGTGGACAGCGCGGTCACCGAGTCCGATTGGATCGTGATCACGACGTTCATGCCCGCGAGCTTGTTGCCCCAATGTTGCAGCGCCATAATGATGGCCAGGGCTTCCACCACCCCTTGAGAAGAGGATGCTCCCCATTCGAATCCCAAGCCCTTCGCGTCTCCCTCGGTTACCGGGGACGCCACTGTGTCGATGACTTGGTCATTGATCACCAGCACCGCGCCCAGTCCCTCCGGGGAGGCATCTGTAATCAGGGCCACCTTCGCCTTGTTTCGGCTGGTCAGGGATATTTTCCGTGAGGGCCTCTCCTTCGTCACGTTGAGGTACTCCATCAGCGCCAGCCTGGGCCCTTCCAGTCGCTTCACGACAAAGAGTCCGCTTTTGTTCCTCGAATCAGCCCTTCCTTCTCTCCTTGTTGATTCCTTTCCAGACCTGACTTCCTCCTCTCTGTCGGCCAAGACAGCGTAGAAGACCCGGAGGATCCACTTCGTCCTCGGCAGGATGCCTGAGAGCCAGGATAGTTTGCCCGTCACCGTTCTCAGCTCGGCTATCGGGGCCATTCCTCTGTTTTCCCATTCCTTCAACCTGCCTTGGAGATCCACAATGAACTTCTCCGGCAAGGTGACGAGGATTTCCGTCTCGGATAGGAGTCTGAACTCCACACCTGCCCATGTTACGGACGCTCCTCGTTCTCCTTTTCCAACAGAAAGTTTGAAGCCCAGGGCGGACATGGTGTGGAGTACGAACCCCAGCAGCAGATTCCGTCGTGAGTTCCCTGGAGTGCCCACAACGAGTCATCCAGGTAGGTCTGGTGTTGTGCCTCCTCCTGCGGCAGACACGACTGCAGCATCCTCGATGTCCACGCCGCCATCCGGGACCATCGCAACGGGGCCGTCCGGAACCCAAACAGCAAGGCTCTGAAGAGCAAGAAGCCGTCTCCTTCGATGTCCGGAGTAAGGGTGTGCTCGAGTTCCTTCTCATGCACTGGCAGATGTGGAAAGGCGTCGGCGATGTCGATGAGGGTGAGCTCACGCGACCACTTCCCATGCTGTTCCTCCACTGACGTCTGTGGGTGAAGCCGGTGCATAGCCCTCGCCATCTCCACTGCGTCCATGGCCCTTGGTAGGACTATCTTCTCGTCTAACCTCGCCTTACTGTTGCCACCCGACCGGCGGAGGTCGATGATCAGCCTCCTCTTCCGTGTTCCGTCCGGCCTTGTCTTGACAATGATGGCCAGCTTCGAGATGGTGCCCTGCGAGAAGTGTTCGTCGACCTGCTCCTTTGACACCTTCATCACGTAGCCCAGCTCCAGGAGTCTTCTGATCTCTTCCTTGGAGTCTTCCAGGTTGTCCGTGATGCTGATGTAGTTCGTGATGGCTCCCCTGGCAATCTGCAGGCTTGCGTCCATCATGACTTCGGGGTCACCTTCTTTGTCTGCAGGGGGGAAGACGCCCTTCGGCTTGATGTCGAGGTTCACACCCAGCGGCGTTCCTTCATCCACCCAGTCTGCCAGGTCGGTGTCTGGGTCCCCAGCCTTCCTCGTCCAGGCCCGTATGAGGTCCGACTCCAAGGGGGATCTGTACCTCCACCTGGATTGAAGCTTCACGGTACGTTTGCCCTGGCTCCCCACTAGCCTTCGGAGCTCCACTTTCCATCTGTCGACCGTTGCTTCATCCAGCTTGCAGTCGGGGGTTCCATATGCTGCCGCTGCTTCACCTGCCAGTCGGTTGCTCTTGTAGAACCTTTCCCATGATGCGAGGATCCTCATTCCGAGGTTGAGGGCTCCTGGCATGCCGGCCACCGTGGTTACAGGGTTTCTCATGCCCCCCACGAAGTTGAGGTTGGCTGGGTTGTTGCCCTTCGACTTGGACTCCTTCAGCATGCCGTAGTTGCCACCGCCGCCAGCCCAGGGCTTCAGTCGAACCTTGCCCTGTTCTGCTTTGACCTCTACCTTCGTGTCACCCTCGTCTTCCGTCTCGTACTCATAGGTGTATTCGTCCTCCTCCTTGGGTTTCGCCTTGGACTTGGAGGTGGCCGCACTGTCGGCTTTGGCCTGAAGTTTTTCCTCTTCCTTCGTCTTGATGTGCTCGCCTTTGACTCCTCTCTCCGGAGTTGGGGAGGCTTGACGTTTGGTCCTTCCCCTCAGCTCTTCCACCTCCTTCTTCAAGTCCGATTCCCTCTTGGCATAGAACTCGGCTGTTGCCAGCCTGCGGAAGTGCTGTATGACCAACTCGGCATACTTGTCGCACAACTCCTGGGGGTAATGTCCTGACGACACAGATCTCTGCTTGCCGATCACCGGGATGTGGTCTGCATCACCGCACGGGCACGAGCCTGCCAGCGACCCCAGGCCAAGCAGCGAGCCCGCAAACATCTGCGGCTTGTAAGTCCTCTGACCTGCTGCGACCTCCCTCTGGTAGTGGCACGTAGTGAAGTTGACCTTCGTCCAGTCCATCTTCTCCACCGCGCTGTCCACTTCCGGGAGTTCCCATGCTGAGCAATGATGTGCGTGGTCAGATGGGGGAGGGTTCTCAACCGTCACAGCAGGTTTGATCCGGTCTTCGGGTCTGGAGTTCAAAATGACTTCACCCATCATTATGGATCTGGAGGCATGTAATGTACCCTGATCACATTCATCTTGCAACTTTTGGGTGTTGCTGGGCAGTCCATAAGGGTGCCTTCGAGAACGACAGGGCCCAGGGTAACCCTTCATTTCCCTCCAACGCAATTTCGAAAATGAAGTACATGGGAACCCTGCATGAAACCCATCCCACAACCCCCTCCTGGCTCTATCAAGAAGCTCGGAGTAGGGTTCTTCGGCCAGTAGGTTGACTCCATCTCTGTCCCTGTCGAAGCTCTCGACTGTCACCTTCATCTTGTGCCTTCGTGCCGCTCTCGAGAGTGCTGAGCCAAGTGGGTCCTGAGGTCCAGAGTACAAGTGCAAAAAGAAAAACCGTCTCTTCATCAAATAGAGGTCCAATGTCATCAATTTCCCATTGAACTCCGCCTTGTCCTGATTGTCCTTGTTTGGACGTCTATGGGACCTGCTTCTTCGGTCTCTCCCTTGTTCTTCTTTGTCTTCTCTGCCCTCGCTTTCAGACCTTCGCCGCCTCGTTGATCTCGACCTCGCCCAGCTCCAGATCGGCGGAACTTGTGCAAAGCTTGGCTCATCAGCTTCTTGCCACCTTCGTCTTGTTGTGGGAGTCCTGCAATGCCAGTCCCGCTTCAGCTCCATGATCAGCCTTCCTTCTGAGGGCATTGGCTTGAAGGGTGTCCCACAGAGCCACACTTTGTGCAGATGTGGGCTCTTTGAACTCTTCCTTGGCAGGCGGCACCTGGTGGTAAGCCAGCACAGGCCCCATTGTTGTTGTTCCAGGCGTAGCAGGCTTGGGTCTTCTCTTTTCCCTTGCCCTTGCCCTTGCCTTCGCCTTTCACCCTTTTGGGGTCTGCTTGGCCTTCTGTGTCGGCCTGTCTTTTCTTTGCCTCCTTCCTCCTCGCATTCCGTGTCCTTCTTGTCGAAGCCGGTGTCCCCGTTGAAGTTTCTGTGTCCGGCTTGATTGCACTGATGCCACCCTGAATGGAGGAGGTGGCAATGGCTTCCGCCGGTGTCAGCGGTCTTCCCTTCGATCCATGCGCCAGCCATGCATTGGCAGGCACGTGAACTTGCTCTGCCCAGAAAGCTGCATCCTTGATCAGCAGCCGGAAGAGGCTTTCCCAGGGGTTTTCCTCTGACCACCCCATTGGTTCCTTCGTGCCGTTGGCGATGTCCATGTTGACCGACACCTTCAGTCGTACAAGATGCTCGGATCTTGCAAGATCGTCTGCGCCCACGATGAGGTGCCATGCGCCCGGGTATAACCTGTCCAGCTTTTCGATGTGGGCCTCGTAGGCAACGCACGTCGCCATCGTCAGGATGTCGAGCATGAGGAGTGCCGTCCTGTAGACCCTGAAGCTTGACCTCCATTGGTCGTAGGTGCTCGGTCCTGGGATCTCCTTCGTGATGTACCCGCCCATGACCGGGATGTAGGACCGGTACTTCTGCGTCCTGTGGGCCTTCTTGCCGTAGGGCAACCAGACCGAGAAGTCGGCGTATGGAGAGCCCCCCGCATTGATCCTCCTCAGGAGGGCTGAGATCTGCTCCGTCGAGGGTTCCTCTTGCTCCAGTGGTAGCCCTCCGGTTTGCTTCACAAAGTTCTCCAGCCACCTCTGCTTCTGCTCCTCGGAGGATATGATGAACTCCGATTCGTCCCCTTGATCCAGGACTGCAGAAAACTTCATCTTCCGTTCCGTCGAAACCTTCGGCACCTCCTTGAACTCCATGGCCCCAGGGGCGATCGCCGGGCTTTCTGCCCACGGGTCTGGGTCGACCCATAGCCTCAGGTCCAATCCCGAGTCCAGATGTAGTTTCCGCCTTGCTAGACGGTAGACCAGCCCCAGTTGTGCAGCTTGGACCACGGTGAGATGGGATCCATCCTCCAAAGTCGCGGCCTCCGATGTCGCCGCAACTGCCTGGGGTGGAAGCGCGGCCAACAGCCTGTAGTCGTCCGAAGGATCTCCTGCTGCTCGGACGAAGGCGCTCCACACCTGATCGTCCACCCCAAAGTAGGCCCTGCACGCCCGCAAGGATCCAAAGGGCGCCAATTCCGTGGGCCACGCCATGCGCAAGGCGACCCATTCCCTTTTCAAAAATTGGTGGGGGAATCTCACCACCAGCTTGAGCCAAAATGGCACAAGTGATGAGATTCCACCCACCATCCCCTGTGCTACCTGCTTTGTTCGGCAGGAAATTCCGGAACTACATTTCCTTTTCCATTAAGTTGTGTTATATTATATTATTATATTATGTTATGTTGTGTTATATTATAATATATTGTGTTGTGCTATATTAGATTATGTTATGTTATATATTGTATTATATTATCTTTTCTTATGTTATATTATATTATATTATATTATATTTAAATACATTAGCAATTATATATAATCATATCATGTGTATTCATATGTATATATGTCAAGTGCTCAATACAATGCAATAACTGAAAACATCATTCATAAGCTGATCAATCACACACAAAATTCCAAAACCCGCGGCTCAAGACTTGTATGACCGTCAGCATTTGGGCGACAGCACCGAGCTTCAAACTGGAACATGATCGGTAGTCTTTGCTGCATCTCTTCGTCTTAACAAAGAGATGCCAAACGAACCCCCAGAGCCATCCCCTGCAACTGAATCATCCTGCCTTCGTTCAGCCTTTGGCGGCGGTTGAGGTACATCCACGCTCAACTGTTGGTCGCCTGATGTTGCAATTTGGTGGCGACAAATGGGTTCGGTAAAGCATCCTGTGCCCATCCCTGCAAACTTCCACCTGGTGCGACTTTTGAGGCATCCTCATCTGAGACTTTTTGCCTCCAGCCAAAATTGGGTTTTGTCTCTTGAACTTCGGCTAAACAGCTAAACAAAACGAGTCGAATACATCGAATACGAAATCATTATAATTCATTCAAATATCAAAGCCTGAAGTCTGTGTTCAAAAACGGGTTAACGGTTAAGGCTGATGTCAGAACAGCAACTCGATATCCAAAACCATCGCTGCGCAGCCTCCATCCCTCTTGGCTTCCAGAGCTCTCATCGCTTGAGCCTACTGTTCACCCAGGTAATCGTAATCGACTTTCACGTATGAGGAACTAGACAAAAAAGATACCGTGTAGGCAATGAATTATCATTAATTAACGTTATTAACGTTGAATTGTATAATTATCAACGTATCTGTGTGTGTGTGTCACAATTTTGAGTGCGAAAGTTCGACAATCAGAGAACCACACATTTTGGAAATGTGTTCAGATGAGTTGCGACTGCCAAAAAAATCACTCCGACCCAAGCGCTTTGCGCGCTCTGCCTGACTCCCTGGGCCGAATCTTCGAGGCCTGCACCTCCTGAGTGCTACCGGGTTTTCAGGGTTGCGGGCCTTTTATGACTTATGACCTGTATAATCTGTTCGTTGTAGTGGTTTGAATATGTTTGAGTACACCAAGATTGAGACAAGAAATCATGGACAGCAAGTTTCAGCCCCAGTCTAGATTGGCAAAGCTAACCCTGCTTCTTTTGACCTCCTTTTAGAGGACTAAAATCACCATGAGTCTCATGTCCTCAGCTGCAACTGCTTTAAGACATTGAGCTTCAGGCAGAGGAGAGCCACACGCCAGGCCGCAAATCGATCATCACCCGGCCAAAGGTATCTGTGTCTATGATGGTCGCTGGGAGCCACTCCTCAGCAAAGCTGAGATGCTGAACAAATCTGCACGATCTGAACCATCCAATGGTCCAATGCCCTCAGGGAGTCGGACGCCATGCGTTACCGAGTAGTACTCCACTACATCGTCTTTCCTGCGTGTCAGAACGTGGTTGAACAGTCAGACTCATGTTTGCCAAGTGCCTGCCTCTGCATAAAGGCATTTAATTCAATGTGAATCCTATTCGGGCACTTCAAATTTTGGAATGCGCAAATTCTTGGAGGTTCAAGGAAGCCCAGCAACAAAGCGTGTGCCATGCGATCAAATGGAAAAAGGCACAAGAGAAACCAAAGAAACTGGCGCACAAACTGTGCGTCAAGCTGAATGCCGTGAATTTGGTCTGCTTTTACTTGTGCAAAATTTACGTCCTGTAGGAGCCAGTAGGAGCTGTGGCAGTTACTGCCTTGGCTTTGCGCTCCTCAAGAAGCGATTGTGATCACCCGTGTTCCAGTATGGTCCAGTACCATACTGACAGCAGTGACTCCCCATGGCATCTATAGGAATTGTTCGCGAAAGATCTCTTCACAACTGAAAAACCATGCAGCTGCACGTGTCCTGTTGCTGGAGGGAGCGCACCTGCCAGGCAATTTTGAAAGGCCGGAATGCCTGATGATTTGCGGGAACTGAACAGAAGGAGTCCTCTAGATGTTCTCTGCATACTCTGGTCTTGCAGCACCAAGAGCAGCTACATCTAGATTTGATCCCAGTGAGAAAACAAGTCTTTGATTTGCACCCTTTGCTCGCCTCTTCTAACATCTGTCGCACGACCTTCTGAATCTCCGGCAGTTGCAGCACCTTACTGTGGGGTGCAGTGGGGCTGCAAGGCTGGATAGGAGCAACTTAGGATTTGTGAAGACAAATGACTGTTGATCGACTATGAATTCCCGACTGCAAGCACTTCCAACGGCCGAAATAAAGACCGGTTCCACATGGTTCCACCACTTCAGCTGCCACCACCAAGCTCCTTTTTAGCTAATGAAAATATGCTCAGAACACTCTCAACCACAGCCGTTGTAGCCGCAGTTAACTGCCTCAGCTTGATGTGATTTTGGTGGTTTAGGAATGTCAAACTTACCTGGGGATGTGTGTTGGAGTATGCTCAATTGAAAGCTGCCAATCATGGATGGATAACTCATCACATAACTTTCTCCAGCTTTTTCTCCTCCCTTTCACTCTGCAATCTTCAGCATTTCAACATCTCGACGCTTGTTGTCATCCACCAAAACTCAGCAAAGCAACTCAAGCTAAGGCGAAACTCCCGACAATCTTGCCCAGAGTTTGATATCGGTTCCCGTTCGTCCACAGCAAACCTCAAATTGGGCAGGGATGGACGAACACCAAAACAAAACAAGTCACACAAGTCACTTCATCCTGTCGCTTCAGGAAATTGTTTGATATCCTCCGTGCACTGTGTGACCACCGGAGCCGCAGTACCCGGCCTGGAGCACGGGTGAGCACTGTGCAGAGGAGCTTCTGTGAACCTTTGTTCACCAACGCATAGAGGATGTACCTTGGCCAGTTGCCCACAAGTCATCACAAGTCCCCTGCGCTATACTTAGTAATATGTTACTATTAGTATCTATTAGTCTTACCATGGGGGTGGTATTTTGGCTGCAGAATCCTAAGGTGGCTTATGTGGCCATACCCAAACAGTCTCTGTGTTGGCGCTGTTTTGCCAACAGTCATCCCACATCGTCAGCCCCCACATTGTGTCCATGCTGTCCATGCAACGGTCCAACCGAAGTCCACAAACTTCTACCAAATGAGTTGTGGCGGATTTATGGCAGAATGACATCAAAAACTAAAGCTCGTGTGCACTCCCAAGCCGCTCGTGAATCTTATCGTTCACAAACTCAAAGCGATATGCGTCAACCCCTTCCAGCTTCTCAACCTCAGACGTTAAAGGATCCTGGATGATGGGATCAGATTTCTTGGTCCAAGATGGAGTCAAGCTAGAGCTAGCAACGCGTGACTAGAAGTCAAACAGAGTCAAGAACTGCACCACGAAGTGTTTTGTTGTGTTTTGTTTCTCTTCAGAGGCTGACCACCAGCATCTCTGTATGAGTAGCTGCAGGGGCAGTCAATCTCAATTAGTTTGTATGATTTTATCATAAATCCCTAACCTGATCTGTTGGGCTGTGAAATTGATGGTGTCACATAACGATCATTGATGGGTTCCGGTTGGAACTGTTTCCATGAAGCCAAGTTGCACCCATAAAATCGGATCCACCGAATGGTCGCTTGTTGGAAAGCCTCAATTCCCACTAACAGCTCATTAATCTCCAAGAACTGCCGAAAAGCATTGGACAAATGGACTTCGGAACCAATATGACCCATGGTTTTTGGACAACATCCAAGAGCGTCGGAGCTAGAATATGCTGGTTCTCTGAGTCGTTTGATCTCTGACTTCACTGCAGATATGTTCACCACTGGCAATTTCTCCAGATATGTAAACATCACTGTTAATATTCCATTCTATTCCCATTCTATCCCCATTCAGCAGGACTTAGGATTCTTTCCAAGCAGCTGTTCTCCGATATCACGAAGGCTCTTTCCATCCATCCCTAGGGCCTTCTCCAGAGTGTCCTGCCGAACCAATTGGACATACTGACTAAATCTGACTAATAGTTGAAGTATGTTGAAGTTGAGAATTTTCTGAAATGATGTGATCGGATCCCATCCTGGATATTCAACAATAATATTGACGCTCCACACCGAGCGACACCCTCCTCCTCGACCACTTTGGCCTGTGCAACCATGGTATTCAGCTCGCCTTGCCTCGCACAGGCGGGAACAATGGCACAGGTCGCTTCTACTTGTTTTAACTTGAGTCAATGGGATTTTATGGAGGTTTACTGGAGGACTTAATGGAGGTTTATTGGCTGTATTGGTGAAGATCAGATTAGGTATGGATACAGAATCCTCGCAAGCTTTCTTTCAACAAGCCTAACCTCGCCAGTGCTGGTTGTGTTCTGGTGAAAGAATGTTCAATAAAGGGACTTTCCTCTTTCGTCAGAACTTGTCTTTTTCCGCTGTCATTCCCTGCCACTGCATACGTTGCCCTGCCTATCGCCCTGCCAAACCGTCTTCATGGGCTGCTGCTCCAGCACCTGACGACAGACCCTCGGACCCGCAGCTGTTTTGTAGGGCAGGAAGCCACACGACTTGAAGACATTTGCGGAATGTCTCATCAGGTTGGATTGATTCCAAGATTCGAAAGCCATTCCAAGCTCTGAAATTGCTTTGGGACCTACTCATTTGAAACCTCTGTGGCTGAAAACAATCGGAACAGTGGCCCAAAGTGCTTGAATGAGATCCTAATCTACTTCTGCTCAAATCTGGAGCCTTCCACCCGCGTTTACTTGACAACCTTTCAGCTTGACAACTCCAGTTCTGCATGGCACCTTGTAGTTGTCTGGCATCGAGACCTGAACATCCAACTCTATCCCACGCTTCTCCAATCAAATCGTAATTAAGGAGCAAAATCATCCTCTCTACTTCACCAGGCTTGTTCGCAGACTTTTCGCAGCCCAAGCTCCAACTATTTTTTCACCAAAAATAAAAACCCCAGAAACTTGCTGAGGAGTTAGCCACCAGGTTAGCAGGTCATCGGCCATCGGGGGTTAGGTCGGGCCTTGAAGGCATCTGCCACAGTGTACTCCACGAAGCCACCGGACCAGCCCAAGGGATTCTTCAGCGCAAGTCCCGCGTGGGCCGCTTGCGGCAAGGCCAGCGGCAGAAGGCCGCCCAACTCAGCAATAAAAAACACGCGCTTCTCTTTTTGGGTTACAACATGCTACAACATGTTGCCACTTGTAATCCATTCAGAAGCCATATGATTTATATGTTTTTACAAATCCATGTGTGGAACATGTATAATGTGGGATTGTGACTAGCCCACTGGGACGGTTAAAGATTAGAGATGTTGGGATGCCACGTAAGAGGCATAGTCTCTCATCGGCGGTGACTGTCATGCCGAGCAACCACCATCTCGCGGCGGGGGCCCGAAGCAGGTGCAGACAGGAAAACCAAACCTGTGCGGATGCGAGACTCCGCTGGAAGTATACATGGAATACATACTGAATATTGCTGGATCATGTTGGTACCTAAAAAGAGCACTGCAGAAGTTGGTTTAACATTGGAATTTCATGAAGTCCGACAAAGCAGGCGTTTTCCCTGCATCCCAGGAGCTGTGCCACGTGGCCAATGCCAAAAGTGCAGCGGCCAGCAGCCGACTCTCCTTGTCCACGGGGCCACTCAAAGAAGAGACACAACAGCAATCTGAAATGTGGCAAAGGCATCCTTTCCAAACATCTCATTGAGATTTTTGAGATCATTAACTCATCCAAATGCATCAAGTACCACTGAAACTCGTTTCGGAACCGAACACCACAGCTCCATCCTGTCGACCTGCAAGCACCATGGCACGCCGCTGCGAAAGCACGCAGCCACGGCCAGCCATGGCTATGTGACTGCAATGATGTCTCAACGTCATGGTCAGCTCAAAGCTTCATGCCCATCATGTCCATCATGTCCATCATGTCCATCATGTCCCACCAAGCTGGGTGCGGTAGTGCCAGTTGTGCCACTCGATTTCAGAAAGCCAATATGGAAGTTCTGAGACGGTCTAAGACGCAGTATGATCAGTTCGAGATCTGCGACAGCTGATTCATTATGGTTGTAAACTTGCATGCAGTTGTCGCATGAGTCGCATGTCCTCTTTTCTGGTTTGACTCTTGAAAAGCTGCAGGTGACAAATATTATATATAATGTAGTGTATCTATGTGTATGTTATGTTCATTTATTTTCCAGATAGTCTCATGTTTTTTATTCAGGTCTTGGTGAGAGCCCCATAGAGTTGGTCGTTTTGAGTCTATGACGATTCAAGTTTGCGGCTGCGCCAGAGCCAATTCTAATGTCAACCATCAGCTGTTACACCTAAACCTGCATTTCTTGCCAGTCAAAACCCCAACTTTTTAGACACTCAATTTATGACTCGTTCATGTCCCACTATATTGCTGGTGAAAGCATGTCTTTTGGTTGCTACAAAGATGTCTTCTATGTAAACTTAAACCACATTTGTCGTTCCTTTCATAGCTGATGAAGTGCCACCAGCAAAAATATCCCTAGGTCCGCTGACTATCCCGCACTGTTGCTGGCTAACCTCCAATGTCTTCTGCCGTTTCATTCCCAATCATCAGTTTGTTTTTTACATAATCTCACCATGTCTGGCATAAAATCCTTCTCTCCACTGGGGAAAAATCATGTGAAATCCCATTGTTACCCGCAGTTTTCCAACGGTTCAAACTGCTCAAACCCAGTGCTGCTGGTTCAACACCCAGCTGATCCCAGCCCACTAAGGTTCCCACCTCATCGGCCGAGGGCCTCTTCTTGGGATCTCGGTCCAAAAGCTGCCGGCAGAGCCTTCAGCGTTACAAGCGTTACTGTTTGACAGGCGAAACAGCCTAAAGACTACAGCAAGTGCACGCTTGTTTCTTGAGCCATAAGCACAGTATAGTATGGATGAATTAGGGTATATGTACAGTAGTATACATGAAAAACACCCCCCGCCGCCCGCAGATTTCCGCGGAGGACGGAAGGCTAACCACGTACGCCAGAAGTGACCTGAGAGCGGACGGGTTGAAACAAGACATCACTGTACATGATTACCTACCATCTGTGCTATGTGGTCTCAGCTCGAATGCATGAGGCAAAATGAGAAAAGGTCGGATGCATTAACTTTTCAATCCATGGCAGGGCACGTGCTTGAAGAGACACAAAAGTGAAGTTGGCCTGGCTTCCGCCAAGGCATAGGAACATTACCATTCCTTTCAATTGCCTTTGGTTCGGAAACTACTGTATCAGGCTAACCTACACGGCATCTGTACACGTGCAACTACCGCAGAGGATCGGATGCTGGTGTCAATCTCATTGAATAAATTGAGAAAAGTTTTTCAAGTTAATCAAGTTGGAATTTCAAGTTTTGGAAATGTGTGCAATTCGATTGAACTGAATGACCATGGGTCAGCTTTCATCCAATCGGCCAAACCTTCCGGTAGGCATAAAAAATCATGGCACAGGATGTGAAACATCTACCAAGATTCAAACTCTACCGTCCCATCATTGTAGGTGCGCTTGAAGTGCGGCTGGCCGTTGATCTCGCAGTACTCCTCAGCAATCACAACTGGTGCACGAGGCACCTGTCGTGGATGCTCTGTTGCAGGAGCTGATCCAGAGGCAGCTTGGGCAGAATCGCCAGCAGCTGGTGTTGTGTCAGGCACAGGCGTCGCTGTTGATGGTGGCCGCACTGGCTCCGGAGGAGCTGCCGAGGAGCTTGATGCTGTAGATCTTCCCCAAGGATCAGCAGTCCAACCTCGGCCAGAGTAGCCCTGATTCCAATTCCAGCTTTGCCATTGGGCCTGCCCTCCCGAGCGGCTTGAGTAAGATCCATACGAACCCCACTGTTGCCCTCGGTTCCATCCACTGCGGCACTCAAAGGATTTGTGGCCATACTGACCGCACTTCCAGCATTCAATGGCCTGCTGAAAGATTGGTCGCTGTTGTTGACCATAGCCCTTGCCTTTGCCCTTGGCTGGCTTCTGAATCGGGTCAAAATGACGCCGGTATCCTTCTCGCCCTTCGCCAGTACCCGTCTTGGAGGATCTTGCCAATGGAAAATCAGCCACATCTGATGCAGTGGCTTCATCCACGAAGGAGTGTTCTTCACCCTTGATGTTATTGTATTGTTCCTTCCACTGCCTCTTCGCGAAATCGACGAGGTCGAAGAAACAATCTTGGGCTGACCCTTGATCCACAGGCATCATTGAGCCAGACCAACCAAATAACATCGGCGTGGGTTCCCCCCTCGCTTTCAGCAAGTCCGCAGCAAGAACAGCAAATTGTGGGAGTGTAAAAACTCGTGCATGATGTGCAACCATGGCTTCCTTTGTAACGTCCAACGGGAGTCGGATGTCTCTGTTGAAGTCTGGCATAAAAATCAAACGAGTGCTGACACCTGTTCCCAGCTGCTTTTCTCGCTTCTCTCGGGTACGGCCGACATCAGGGGCAATGCATTTTGCCAAGTCCTCCAAAAATTGGCAACAGTCGGGAGTGATCTGGCCGACCGCATTGTTGAACAAATAAAATGGGTCCTTCTCCATGCGGTCCTGGATCGACTTGAAGCCGAGCTTCGTGTATCTTCCCGCATGTGTCTGAGCAGCGTCCTTGAGATTTCCGAAATTGCTTCGTCCAGCTCGACGTTGATCTGCTCGGGTGCGGTCGGAGACTCGCTGAGCTCGAGGCTGCTTCTCAAAGTCGATTTTGTCCAGAGAAAATACCTTGTTGGTTTTCTTGGCCGAGATTTCCATCCGGCATACCTCTGTCGCAATTCTTCCATCCGACCAAGCAATCAGCCATTTGAAGCACGACTGACATTTGTGGGTGCCCTCAATGTTCTGTTCGCCGCAGAAGTGGCATCGGACCTGTTGCATCTCAATCTTTGAGCTGTAGATGTAATCCTCAGCATTTGTTGAGCGCTGGGCCTGCCCTCCCGGGCGGCTTCCTTTTCCCTTGCCTTTTCCCCGGCCCTTGCCTTTGCGAATGGTTTCGGCATTGGACAAGGCACCAAAGGAGGCCATCTTCAACGTCACTTTGTCCTCGAAGGGTCCTGAAGTTCCTTCACGTCGACGAAGAAGTGGGGGAAGCTCTTCTGGAGAGTCGGTCACCTGCATCTGGCCGGGTCGAATGGACTTGCCGCTCATGAGGTAGGCCTTCAAACTGTCCCTGGCGTTGGCATACGGGCTCTTTGACAGTGCTTCTCTCTTCGGAGTGTCCTGGTCCTTGTGGGTCTTCATTTTGTTGTTGTACCCCACACGCGTGATCTCATAGGGGCGATTCACCCAGGCAAACTCCCTGTTGACAGCATCATATGTGCAAATGATGTTCTCGTTGGAGATCCAGTCAGGGCTTATGATTGCTTCGTCTGTACGAAACAATCGGCAGCCGCTTTGGACGATGAGCTCGGTGTCAAAGGCAATGTAGTATTGCTTCCCGGCTCGCGTTCCCGCGAGCTTTCTGCCACCGACCGAATCATCCCATGGATGTGACGCAATAAAGAAATTATGCGCCCTTCCTGTCCTTTGGGGCCAGCCACCTGGGATGAGACCATGTTCAACTATCTTGTCCATAGCGAGCCTGTCGCAGCTATGGTAGATAACCCTTGGAAGTGCAGCCAGCATCTCCGGCACAAGGTCTGGACGAAGGTTTGTCCTTGGCAACTTGGGCGTGTCGAGGTCGGCCTTGGTAAAGGTTGGATCCAAAGTAAACACTTCCTTCACCAGCGATGAAATTTTGGCATTTTCCACCACTGCACGGTTGTGTCCTTGGACAGCTCTGATGGCGACAACCTTCCATGGCAAACCCTTCCAGGTTGCATCAGGCAAATCGGGCTGAGCCACTTTCACCTGAAAGCGCCTGGTGTCACTGTTGCGCACGATGGACAGGACCTCACTGATCTTCGGGTAGGAGACGTAGTGGGCCATCGTCTTCATCACCGCCTCGAAATCCATCGAAAGATCCATGGGATCGATGTCTGGGCTGCGAGCACCATAGCTCAATGCGTGCCCCCGGAGAACATAAGATAACTTTGTGGAAAGAAATCTCAGTCGCCCTTGGCCGCAATACTCCTTGGGAATCCTGTTGATCATGTCATTGGGGTCCAACCATACTGATCCCTCTTGGCGTTCCGTCGCTTCTTCCAATTTGCGAAGGGCTGCATCAGCTTCGACACTGAGTCGCGGCGCTTTCTGTCTGGGCTGCGCTTTTGACTCTGGTGCCTTTTGCTTTTCACTCTTCGGCATTTTCTTTTCGGCCGGCTTTCCAACTGGCTTGTCAACCTCCACCTTCTTCTCGGTCTTGGTCAGGTCGACAATGGCAGTCTTGTCAGCAGGCTGTTCGGAAGAAGCAGAAGCCTCAGGAACTGCAGCATCAGTCGGCACACCCTCCCGGGCAGCATCAGCACCTTCCTTCTTCTCAGAGTCAACGTCCATGGCAGTGGCTTCAGATCCACCAACCTCGGTCCAAGTTGAGATCCTGGAAGAAGTCATGTCGCTGGGCTTGGATTCATCACCACCAACCACACTCCAAGTTGAAATCCTCGATGAAGTCATGTCTTCCCCTCCTTGGTCAGCCTTTGCGGGTGCATCTTTTGCAGCAGCAGGGTCATCGGCCGACGTTCCCGAAGGCTTTGCCTCAGCGGATGTGATCTCGATGATCTTGTTGAGATCTTCAACCTCCTTGGCTCTTTCCTCCGAGATTTCATCTTCCTTGACCTTCTCGTCATGGGGATTGACAATGATCTTCTCATCAAGGATCACGTCCCACTCATCAAACTCGGGAACGACTTCAACATCATCATCGACATCAGTGTTCTCCGGATTGATCTCGATCGACTCAATGGTTGTAGTTGAGAAACCATCAGCAACGGCCTGATTCAAATCTTCTTGAAGGTATTGTCGGGCCCTGACTTCTTCGGTTTCGTAGTCCTCGATCGAAGGGTCAATTGGGACGATGGAGCTGATCTCTTCATCAGTGAAAGCAGTGGGCATCGGCCTTCCCTCCCGGGTGGCTTCCTCGTTGGCCTCAAGAATTCCTGCATGGACCCACATGAGGATCTCCTCATCTGCCTCGTCGAAGACCTGGGCAGGGGTTGCCGTTTTCTTCTCGGTGGAGACGGCTTCCATGACTTCTTGAGTGCCGAGCAAAGCCAAACGAAACTGAACCATCGTGGGGAAGAGATGGACCGCGGCCACACGATCTTGCTCGTTGCTGATGAACTCCTTCACAAAGTACTTGAGATCGTCCTGCTTCGACATGAGCTCAACGTATTTGAGGTGGAAGGTGATGGCTCCTCTCAAGAAACGATAAACCAGTTTCCGGTTAAATTGGTGGTCGTGCAGGTGGTAGTTGTCGTATTTCCCACCCTGAGCGAGCATAGTGGAGTTCACACATTGAATGCCACGCTCTGCCAGCCAATTGATGTGCTTGCCCATCTCACGGTTGTAAGATGGCGGCAATGAGTATCCGGAATGGTCACCGTTCCCGATGACTTGCACAGACATGACACGGGGGTCCTTGGAAATCTCAACCAGTCCTTCCAGTGATCGCTGCACCTTCTTGTACTGCTTGTCGACGTACTCGGCAGCGACCTTCCGGTCGGCTTCTGACTTCGTGAGATTGGATTGGTGAATCCATGTACACCCTTGGTATCCAAAGTCCCCGTGCACATCGTTCCCCGCCCATCCGACGACGACCATGATCGGGAGTGTTGCTCTGTCAAGAAGGCGATTTTCTCGTTCGACCTTCTCAATCAGCTCTCAGATCTGGTGATTGATGGCGCTGAGGCCCTTACCCCATTTCAGTCCTGG